AGGAAAGTGACATGCTGTCAATGTGGAGGTAGACACCAAAGCAGCAATCCATTAATTAGGTATTTTGTGATGCTGCCTATAGCAGTTACTTCAATTCACAAATATGACCACTAGTCTAAGAAGGCTTGGAGACCCCTGGTTTACATTGTGCCTGAGGCAAAAAATCCTCAAGACAGCAATTTGATGTGTTTTTCATTGAGAGTGAGTTTCATGAACTTCATGGAAGTATTGCCTGAGTAGGCATGCATAGGGACTGGGCTGTAAGTCAAGAGAAGGCATGTTCTCCCTTTGAAAATAGGAAAAAAGCACCGGTTATTCTGACCTGTCTCTAGCACTGCACACTGGTCCCTTGTATGGCAGACAGCGGAAGCAACAGAAAGTAGAATTTTAAGCAACCCTTCTGGAAGTAGACTTTGAGGAGTGACTGAGAGATCAAAGAAATGTCAGAGTGTATTTTCTGAAGATGGAGTTCTCGGACTGCATAAGAGAACTGAGTAAGTGTGGTATAATAAGAAAAAAGAGAAAGAGTGTTGAAGTGAAAGTTCTGGCTTGTCACCAATAAATAAGAAAAAGGCAATGAGGGGGGCCTTGGAAAATTTTCTATGGTAAATGAACAGCTGAACCTTAAAAAGAGATGACTGTACTTTTTCTATCAATTTGAATGCTGGCCACATTCTTGAACTCAAATTAAACATTAAAGTTAAATCTGTATGTAGAAAGAACAGTTTTCAGGGAAGTTTGTTCAGTGCTAACTTAGATGACAGTTCTAAATGCTGAACACTGTGGAGCTTACTGTTGAATAAAGATACAAAAGTTTGCAATATATCTTAGCCTGTACACACTGTTGCAAAAAGGAAGAAATTGTATGGCTTTATCTTGTAATAGTTTATTTTCTCTCTCCCCTTTTAATTCTGATGAAGCAATTTCTTTCTTTTTAATGACTTCTCTAGATTTAAATCACAGTTGTTCAAACTTGCATATGCACTTTGAGTTGAGCATTACTTTATCCCAAATTAATTTCATCTCATGTCCTAGGAGAGATTTGCAGTCATGAAGATGATAAAGGAGCACAAAATGAAGTAGGATCTTAGGAATCCTAATGGCCACCCACCCTTGAATAAAAAAAAAGTTTGAGGAGAACGAAGTGTGCTTAGAGAATAGAAGAACAACACAAGAAAAGCAATCTGATATGGTGAGACAGAGGAGAGAGAAGCTGTGGTTCTTGCTGCACTGAACGCCAAGCCCTACAAGCTCATTTCAGATGGAGGGTGGGTTTATTTTTACTACTAGCTGACTCAGATGAGGAGGATGGACTTTGTCAGTTCCAGGACTGGTGTAATTCTGATTCTGTTTCAGGAGCATGTCAGGGAAATGCAAGCGTGGTGCTCAGTATCCATGCCCATCCCACCATGCTCTCCCAGCACTCTGTTTCTGGCTGCTTTGCCAGCTAATGTGTAGAAAGTGGAAAGTAGTGCAACTTTCTACCACAACACCAGAGAGACCTCGTGCTATGAACCTTTCCTCTGCAGCCAGACAGGAAGATCTGACCTCCTGGGGCTCCTTCGCCACCCTCCAAGTCTGTAAATAATTGCACCCAAAATAAATCAATATATAATAGTTCATTGACATACCACCAAATTCTGAGTGAAGGGCAAGATCATCCACTGAAGTTTTAAGAGGGCTCTTCTACTAGCAATAGAATGATCACATATTGTGTTTCCTATGTCTGCCTCCTCTTCCCATAGTGGTAGAGTAGAACCAGGGCTCATATAGATGTACAACCAGCACCTTTTAAGTGAGTTCACAAAAGCAAAAGTTTTTGTCACTGAAACAGGTGCAGTTTTAAATATTAAGGCTGTGGCAAGAGCATGCCATGTGTTTGTTGCTGCAAGCAGTCCTGATGAAGGTGGGTTACCAGGGTTCTTAAGCTATTCAAAACACATGGTTCTTTTAAGCTTGTGGATGGCTTGTCAAGCACACCAGTAACCCACCGTCACTGTATTTTCACATAACAGGAAGCTACGGTGCTGCCTGCCACAGCTTGAATATGGAATATTCAGAATGGCAGCTGTTGCAGCAACAAGAGGCCTCTTGGGGAAATCCTCCACAGAGGCCTTCTCATTACATGCTAACACACCCTTGGATTAGCGGGAATATTGATGTTATGATGAAAAAGGGATACAATAGCCAGCAAGGAATGTATTTTTCAATTACTATGAACCATGGATTATGATCATTCCTTTGCATTTGGCCAAAGAATAATCTGTTTATGGAATGGAATGAGTTCTTCTGGTTGTAAACAGAATATGAGAGTATCTATTGTAAAATCCCTTCAAATTCTGACTTACAATTAAGAAAAATCTAATTTAAAGCCCTGGTAAATATTTAAGTATTAATTTCATAGAATCATAGAATAGTTGAGATGGAAAGGACCACATAAGTCAATTAAATACATAATAGATGGAGAAACTAATCTTTCTGCAGAAGTGGGGGAGTAGAGGGTAAATTAAACCCAAGGCAATATAAAAGATAAAAAATGAGACAGACATAAGCTTAGAGGTAAAATTTATTTGAGGGATAATAAATGTGATCACCTGCTTGCAGTAGTTGAAATAAGCACCTCTTCTTGGGCTATCAAAATGTATTTTGAAATGCAGATTATTTTCATTTTACTAATTTCAAGATTTGTATGGAAGAGCATCCATTTCCAGATCCTTGGCCATGCAAAAAACAAAATGTAGCCTAACTGGCAACCCAGAGGCTATTTTATTTACTTTCATGCCACCTATTTAATCCCAGTGAACTGGCAGACAACCCCTCCTAAATCTCCCCATTTTCCTTGGCATAAGCTGAGCTAATTCTTAAACCTAAGCCTTAACAGACTGATCACCTGCTGTATCAAAGTGTTCATGAGCTGCATTTGCCCTTGCTCTCTCTCAAGTTCATGTCCTCAGCTGTCCACCAGTGAGTACTCAGCCATCCATTGGGAGTACCAAGAAAACTATATTTTCCAGTGCCCAGCGCTTGGCTTCCTGTGACTGGGTTCACACAACACGGCAATTAATCCTGCATGGTTACCACATTTTGTGTTTTTTTTACCATGATGGACCCATCATGGTAAAAAACTGGCATCTGGCATCTATTTGTCTGTGTTACCCTGCCTTTCATCCCCCCGCTCTGTCCTCGGGCTGTTGGCATGTATCCCATCAGCCACCACACTGAAATTCAATCCCAGGATACATCACTCGTTGCCTATGTTGCCTGCTTCTTCCTCATTGGTTTGCACATATTGGATGGCCAGAGCAGATCCTGCAGTTGCCACCTTTTCCAAGTGACTCTGTTTTGATTGCCTACTGGAACTATGGAAACGGTGGTCCTGGGTTCAGATAACATAACAAGCCATGGCGATACCATCAAACAAAACTGTGTTCCTTATAATGGTTTCTAAAGACCAAACTTGCCATGGTAAAATAACACAACTGGATTCAGACAACACAACAGACCAACAATGGTAAAAAGCACCAGGATTTGTTGTGTTGTCTGACGTTAGCCAGTAGCAAGAGGCTGTTATCTCTGTGCAAAAGCTTCTCACACCAAAGGTAACACAAGGTCACTCAAGTAGATCTGGCACCATTGTGTTGGAGTGGGACTCTTAAATGGCCAGTTGTGTCTAGGGCAGGATCCTGTGGTCAGTAGGCATAGCATAAGGCTGGGATGTGCAGGAGATAGATCTCCAAGCATTTCAGGCATCAGCTCCTAGAAGGCCTTGCCAACATGGCCAGGATCAAAACTAAGGAGAATTGAAGAGTGCTGGCACAAGGTAAAGCTTCTAAAGAGTCGCCCCTGCTTCTGCTTGATGCCCCATGACGTCTTTCAGTAAGGATGTGGGCTCCATCCTCCTAGGGCTCCCTTCCTCACACTTCAGCAGCCATGTTAGTGGCATTAAGAACAAAAACAAACTATGCAAAATTATCCATTATAATGGATGGGTATTTCTGATCCTTTCTATAGAGAGTGGGCCACTCTTCCTCATGTTGCAGACTCAGTGGAAGTCATTGTCACTGGATTCTAAACTAGAAGAGGGGTGGGGAGCAAAGCCTTTGACGTTCCTTCAACTGTCTCTACTGATGTTTCTCAGGCCGAATGTCAGAATCAGCCCATTTTGGAGGGGGAGGAGGAGTTTTCAGGAGGGGAGGGGGAGCAGGTTCAAGACCCAGTCTCTGACCAAATGAGAAGACTTTGGAAGAAAGAAGCTGCTCAACTGGAGGGGCTTTGCTTTTCGTTCTGTCTTGCTCTCCAGCAGCAAGAGTCACCCTAAGGGCAAAGTCAAAAGCTTTACTGAAGTGGAGGAATCAGGGAAATTTTCAGTCTGAATTCAACTCTTTGCATGAGTAGAGGCTTCTGTTTTACAGCTCAAAATGTTCTTTCTGGAGTCTCAGTAAAAGAACTGCATTTTCAAAGGTTCACTCTGAGTTTTGGAACCAGAGGATAGGAGGGAAGGGACCAGTTCAAGGCAGCTTCCATGGAAGGTTTCACAATGTGTTCAGTGGGATGTATTCACAAGTAATTGTCTGTGCACCTGTGTTCCCCAGCCTGGTGCCTTCCAGTGGCCATGCTGGCCAGAGATGATGGAAATTCTAGTCTGAAGAACACCAGCATGGAGATAAGCAGTAGCAGCTACACACAGCCTAATTTTGTGCCTTTTTACTTGGAAGTATCACTCTTTTGGGATTGATACTCCAAACTCCAGCAGTGTTTAGGACTGAAGCCTCAGTCTCCAATGGGAGCCCTAATATGCTTCCTTTTACATTGCTGAGCCTTCCTTGCTGTACAGAATTGTTTCCAGTTTTAGCACTGAGGAACAATTCCAAATTGAGAATGGCAAACCTACTGTAAAAAATGTAAGACGAAAGCAGCATTTAGCAACTGGATCACATTTTGAATGGATCTCTAGTATTCCTTACATCATTGATTTTCTTTTCTGGTGTTGTTCCTTGCAGAGAGTGAATCTATCCTTCGATTTTCCATTTTATGGCCATTTCCTACGTGAAATTACTGTGGCAACTGGGGGTAAGTGGCTTTCTACCCATTCACTGTGGATAATCTGACAAGAGATTAAGATTTTAAAAATCAGATAGATTTAAAAAAAAAAAATGAAGAGATGAAGTGAAACACAGTAGAGTTTGCTTTATCAAACCTTGAGAGTGTTAAAATTAAGCATGTATCCTGTGTAAGCAAACTTGTATAAATAGTGGTTAAATTGAGTAGAAGTTTTGATTAGCTGGATGTTTTGTCTGAAAGTCCTCTTGCAACTCCTTTCCCATTATCAAGAAGTGCGTAGAAAAGGAAAGGTACTGCTAGCACTATGGCAGGTATGTTACCCTATCACAGAGCAATCCCCATTTTATTTGGGAAATTTTTGGCCTCTTCACTCATCTTCCCATATGGACAATTCCTGAAGCAGTTTACAAATGCAACATTCCTAATGTTAAATGGTTGATAGTGCATTGTAACAGACTGATTATTTAGTAATTAATGTACTTCTGAAACAGCTGATGCATTGAGCCAAATTAAATATCATTCTAAACATATTGCATGCACGTGTGTGTAAGTTGACTGCTCGTGTGTGATGGGAAGTTTTTGCAGGAACAACAGCATATGGGAAGGTGAGTTTTAAGCCCCTCTTCCCCTGCTGTGGTCCCACTGAAAATTCCACCCACCCCCACCCAGTTGATAGGAGACTCTGGAGGATAGCAGCTGCAGTTGAAAAAAAGAACCAACCCTTCTCCTAGTGACTGGTAGTCCAAGAAAAAATGGGCCCACAAGGTCTGCTGTTAGCAGGATTTTAAAATAGACCCAACAGCAGATGACATCTTCAGCATTATGCCCAGCTGGGCCATGGGACAAGGGGGGGGGGGGGCTTTGGAACTGACTGTCTCCCTGTCCTATTATTAAAATAAAGGTTACACAAATAACTTCAAATATCAAGGAAGTTGTGTGGTAAATTCTATGCATTCTAATTAATCTTTGAACTAATTGAAAATATAATTAATGTATCCTGGAAATGTGACTTTTTAAAGAATTTATTGGCCTACGTTATGAAAGTACTAAATATAATGTGCCACACTTTTCCTTAACCATGAGTAAGTTTACTCAGGCGATTCAAAGCAAGCTTTCCTGTCTTTCTTTTTGAAAAAGTGGGCGAAGAGCTACTTCTGTAAAAGGAAAGAATGCTGAACAGACAGAAATAGGAGGGGATAATGATAATAATAGCTGTGCTTTGAATGCATCGCAGGCTTAGCAACAGTGACCGAAGGGGTTAGTCCATGATAAGAAGAAAGGGGAGCAAAACAGATCACAATCGCTGACACATCTTCACTCAAACATAGACAAATGGGTAGTGGATGTGACTGCAGCAAAAGTGGGTGGGGAACCACTTTTTGCTCTCTTTCTGATGCCTGTTCTTCCTCTCTCTCTCTATTCCTCATGGACCAGTGAGTTGCCAGGAGAGGGACAAGTTATTCTTGCCCAAGGATTGAGTTGGGGATTCACAGAACCTTTTGAAACTAGCCCTATTGCTGCAAGTTGCCTACCATGATATAAAAGTTAAAGCAGAATTTCAGCTTCGTTTCCACCAGTTGAGCAACATTCACAATTCACAGGCAGGCTGTATTAGTAATAAATTATGTTCTTTACCCTCACTTATTGAGAGAGAGAAATCAAATGGGCCTGTTCAGGCAATTAGTGTAGCCTTGCCCTCAGCTCATGTTTTACCAAGGTTACCTGATTCCTGGCTGTGAAGTAAATCTGTTTGCACTGCCATTATTAGTATAATTAATCCTATCCTGTTCTTTTAGCGGTGGATATCAGTCACGTGGGATTCCTGTGTGCAGTAATTCTGGTACCTGGGAAACCACTAGAGGCTTTCAAGCTCTCAGATAACAGAAGGGCTTCCTGACAGGATGTTTTAGATGTTTTAATTTAGAAGAGAGCAGGAGTATTGGCAAGGGACTTAAATATCAGGGGTGAGAGAGGATTGGCTTGGTGGCTAAGAAAAAGATGTGCTGCAACAGCATAGTAGACCAAAGTATAGGGCATTTTTGTGCCCCCTAAATGTGCAGAACATTTCATAAGGAAAGATGGATTAGAAACAGAGGAAGGAGTAAAAAATGGTGGAAGATTCATCGCAGATTTAAGCTGCGCGGATGATACCATGGTACTGGCAGAAAGCAGCAATGACTTGAAATGGTTCCTTATAAAAGTAAAAGAAGAAAGTACAAAACAGTCCAGTAGCTGAATATAAAGAAAACAAAAATCATGTCCACAGAAGAATTTTAGAATTTCACTGTTAATAAAGAAGAAGTTGAAATTATGAAAGCTGTCATATCCTTTGGCTTATTCATCAATTCAGAGGGAGAAGAAGACTAAGTGTTGGAAGGTCAGTAACGAAGGAACTAGAAAAGATCATCAAGTGTAAGGATATTTTACTGGAGACCAAGGTCAAGATCATCAAAAACTATTGCATTCCTAATTACAGTGTATGGGTATGAAAGCTGGACAGTGAAGAAAGCTGTCAAGAAGAAAATTGATGCATTCAGGACATAATGCTGGAGGAAGGCTTTGCAAATACCCTGGACCAACAGAAAGCCAAACAAGTGGGTTCTAGATCAAATCAAGCCAGCACTTTCCCTAGAAGCAAAAATGACAAAACTGAGGCTGCCATGCCTTGGTAACATACTGACACATCATGAAAAGGCAAGAGTCACTGGAGAAGACAATCATACTAGGCAATGTCAAAAGCAAAAGAAGAAAAAGAAGACCAGATATGAGATGGATTGACTCCATAAAGGAAGCCACAGGAACTTAACATTGCTTTCATGGAGCTGTCATAGAGAGGATTTTTTGAGGGCTTTCATTCATAGGGTCACCATAGGTCAAAGATGACTTGATAGCAAATAACAGCAAATGTTCAGTGATATTGAACAGTTGAGCATCAAACAAAGACCATGTATTTCAAATGTAAGAAGTGAGCAAATCTTGACAATTGTTTTGGAGTAAGATTTGCTTGGATATTATCTAAGATACAGAATTTTAAATTCATGCCTTTTAGGCCTGTCATGTGATTGGAACAAATTTTAATATGCTCATTAAATTAGTTCATTGATCCACTGATTAGTTCATTGATCCAATCTGCATCCACTCTCAACCTGACATTTTACACCCATGATTTTGGGAGACTATTTTCTACTCCGAGTTGCGCTCCAGTATTAGTTGGGGCAGTAACATTTCCAAAAATTAAAACAATGGTGTAGTATCAAAAGATGTCTGCTTCCCTCTCCTGGTTTTGTTTTGAAATGTGGCATTTTTAAATCCCAAGACGTTAACATTGGCTGGGACAAGAATAGCCCTGTTTCTTGCAATGCACGCCAATGGTTTTATGGGAGGGAAGTAATTTTCTCCCAGACTGTCTTTGGGTCTTCAACCAAAAAAGAAAAAAAACCCCTCTCTGTGAGCATGTTAGTTTGCATCACTTGATCAGTTTTTATTGGAAAATATAAATGCTAGCATGTCAAATTGACTGGGACAAAAAATCACCCCAGTGACAAAAATCATTAGATTTTATTCAAGTATTTGCTGTCCTGGGTGCTTTTTGAGTACAGGACATAAACTGTACATTGGATGCAGCTTCCATTTGGAGATATAGTTTACTATTGTATAGGTGACAATAACAACTATGAAAAGTGCACCATGTCTATGCATGTGGTTTTAACCCTAAAGATTAGCTTGAAAAAAAATTAAAATATTTAGCAGTTTGTTTCTGTACGATGCACACATTTATAACAGCAGATAGACTCTTAGAAGAGACATTTCCCCTTCACTCAGGAGGAAATTTTTATTTCAATATGGACCTTTCCACCTGTAATTGTTATAAGTCCTTTTTTTTAAAAAAAGACAGCCCTTCTCCCTGATTAATTTGTGACATTTTTTCATTAACATTTAAATCAATTTATCTGACTAATCAATTAATTGTTTCCATCTGGATACTTTGATTAGATCATACAGGTCAATTCTGAACCCTCTGTGTCACCCATTTCTTGGCTGTCTGCTTGAGAAAGGAAAGGTTGTAGTGCTGGTAAACTGTGGATGGCATTTCCTTTTCCTGTCATCTGGCTGAAAGTACCTTTTAGGGGAAAAAGCACTTAGCTAGCAGGACATAATCTGCAAACATTTGCGAACCTAAAATTAGCTGTCAAGAAGAATGGGGTCTTGCTCACTTTCTGCTTCATTTTTAGCCATTTTGCAGTCAGCTTAGACTTTAAAAGGTCACGTGCACTTAACAGAAGTTCATTTCACTTATTACCCACTTTAGAAATGGAATAAAGACTGACCTTTCAGCCAAAACAGCTTCGTGGGTTTTTTATTTATTTTATTTATTTATTTAGAAAATTTCTATGCCGCCCCATTCGCCGAAGCCTCGGGGCGGCTCGGGATTGTTGTTTTGCTGCAGATCACATGGAGATGCCTACAGTATATCTGTTTTCTCAGCAAACTCATTTGTGGGGTCATTTCGTTTTAGGTAGAGGCTGAAAGAACTGACTGCCAATTTCTTGACTAGCAGCGTAACTGGTGCCTTTATGGAGAGATGTGTCACTCACTCATCCCTCTTTTGTTTTTGTTTTTTAGCAGCATTCCCCAACCAAGTGTCATGATGGGTAGGGACAATGGGTACTGTAATCCCTGCATATCCCTAGGACAGCATATTGAAGAAGACTGTTTTTAGGATAGCTTTTGCTTTGCCAAACAGCACCCTCTGGTGATGCTCAGTCTATAGCACAACATTTCTTATTCAGTGGTTTTCAGCAAGCATTTCTATCCCACCTTTGGGCCTACCACCACAGGCCCTCAAGTTCTCTTACAATTCAGTTAATTTTCTGCTGCTGCTGCTGCTGCTGTTCAGGTGTTCAAAACATTCTGCATGCATGATCTCAATCACCCACCATCCATGTATGATTGGTCAATAGTGTGAACCCACATTAATATGGGGGCTAAGGCATAGCTTCCTCCTCAAG